TCCTCCTCAGGGCATGGCACAATGGAGGCGATTCAGCAGAATGTCGAGCCGCCTGCATGCAAACATTTATGCAGTGCCTTCCCAGAGACTGAGAGAACAGGCCGTGGCCTGCTTTCTACCAATCGCAGAAGGCAACCGCATGGATGTCAGTGGCCGTGTGAAATTTGGAAGAAAGGAAGTATTTGTCAGGTTTTCAGGTTCATCTCTTCAGTATGCACAGTCGGTCTGTAGGTCAAGGGTGTCATCCAGATCTCCTACACCCTTCTGCCCTTCTTTCTCCTGATCTTTCTCTTTTCTCCCCTCACTGTTGGGTAGAGGGTAGCGAGCGTGGTTCCCCATAGGCTGTGTTGGGTGACTGATGTCACTGTCTTGTGTTCTAGTGTCTGGACGGAATTGTACACGGGCACCCCCTAGCTTCACAACTGTGTTTTCTGCCCTTCCTTCTTTATTCTGGTAACGGGGTTTTGCACTTTCACTCGCACAAGTAGACTCCCGGGCTACCTCTTGCAAAAGAGGCAAGGTGAGAAGGACCAGGGGAAAGAGGGCGTGAACGACACAGTAAAAACTGCCTGGGGCCAAGATGTGTGAAGTCCTACTTGTCCTTCGACACTGTTGATGTTGACAGATTGGCACCAATTAGTACCCCCGCACCACCGCCTCCTTCGTTCTGGATGCTCCCTCTCACCAGACACCACGCTTGAGCCTCAAGCACTGTCTGGTCAATCAGGCTCTCAGTCCAACATTCTCTTCACGACGCACACATGTTCCCATGCTTTTCCCTGAACTTCCCCGGGAGTGTCCTCACACCAGCTGCTGTGTGAGCCCAAGACTTCACTGGCTTTTATTCTCTCTAACAAACCTGGAGGAGGCCCCTGGGAGCCAGCGAGCTCTGAGATGTTCTCCTTTGCTCCTGGCATGCACAAATGTGAACTGTCTAGGTTAATATCAGGACGGGAATTTTGAGGGCAGTACAGCCATGCAAGTTTGTGGAAGAATTAGGTCCTCTGAAAGTGAGGAAAGATAAGGCAGCCTCCGCTCCTGCCCGATGGAGACTTTGCACGGCACACCCATGGAAACCGCATGAGAGTGGCTGTTATGGGAAATGTCCCTGCTCTGGGATCGTCACTACTGGTCTCTTTTCCAGGAGCGAACATTTCTCAGTACGCCTCCTGGTCTGGGATGGACCCTGAACGCCCTCTTTGATTTCTACGTAGGAGTCCCACTTTTTCTGTCCTAAAGTGTGTGTGTTCCTTGGACATTCCCATACCAAAACCAATCCCTGCAGCCAGAAACATATGGAATCAACCACCTGTCAGAAACATCCAGGTTCGGTGAGATATGAAAGAGTTTCCCTTGACCTCAGTGAAACAAGGTGAGATGTCCAAGTCACCCTCAGACGGGCTGCACAATAATGGTGACCGAGATGAGCGAAAGAGCAGTAAGGGCATTCGACAGAGAGTGCTATGGACATGTTGAAGTGAACATTTTGACATGCAGGCATAGAAGATACGAGACTCATAGAACCATACAGCTAGTGAGATCAGGTGACACAGTCTCACTGACATGGACAGGGAGACAGAGAGAGAGAGACAGAGACAGAGACTGAGGATATGAACGGACGAGGACGGGGACATCCTCACGTGCATTGTGCATTCTAAAACAGTAACAGCAAATGCCTGGTTCAAGAGGACACGAGGAAAGGAATTGTTACTTAGGGATTGAGCCAGAAAACTCACAAATTCATGAGGTCTTTACTCCTGGATTGTGACGGGCTTGGGCCCATTCAACCTGGCATTGAAGAAAGGACGGCGGAGGCAAATCACACCAATGGGACCTCACTTGGTATACCGCCCTATCATTTGGCCCTGGAAAAATCCCTAGTGAGAATGGGTTCCCCCTATGTGTAGATATGTGCTTCGAGAAGACACTCAGCTTAGTCGTGTTCTCTAGGATGTCCCCGAGAGTATACCTTGGCACATGAGCCTGCAGACGGCTCCGTCATACTTTACTGTCCAGTGTACGTCATTGCCCTCCACCTGCACACTTCATTTCAGGGCAGGGCAGAGGTTAATGGTGCCATCGTTTGTAACTTCCGGGAGATGACCTTGGCTTTGAGACAAAGCCCAGGCTTTACCCTGCTCTTCAGAGCCTGAGTGGCTCCTTCCTGAAAGACTGGAAGGAGCCTACTACACAAGGAAAAGGACCTGTCTCAAGAGCTCGGTGTCGGGCACCGGGTTGCTATCCCATCAGCACAGTCCCGGAAACATACTTGCATGTCCCATCAGGATAAATCCTGAGCACTGGTGCGTGAGAGTTGGCATAGTCCCTGAAGTTAGGGCCTGCGGGCTATGAGGGCCTGTCTCAGTCCTGAGTGTGGAGTGTCTGTGGGGAACGCAGGCAGAACAGGTCAACACTTGCTCTCTCCAGATTCCCGAGCCTGCCAGCCCAGGTTTGCACAAGAGGGGCCATAGGTCTGCAGTCTGATGCTGAAAAACAGCAAGTGACTTCGAGGGCCAGAAGGAGGTGTGGGCAAGGAGAATCAGAAACCTGCTTGCTCAAGCTACCTGTGCTACCGGGATACCTCTGCCGCCATCACATTTGAGGAGGAGTCCTTTGGGATCAGTGAGATCGTCGGCATGACTTGTCCCATGATGGTCAGAACTATCACATTTGCAGAGTGGGAGGACGACCAGAAGCACACATTGAGACTCGCCAACCCCAGGTGTGGCAGGATACACCCTTTACCATGAGTGCCAGTTTCAAGTATTCCCAGGGAGCAGCAGCACAATCGGGAAGGAGCCATACTCAGGAAGTGCTTGCCACCAAGCATGTGAGGCTTTTGACCTTTGCTGTGCCTGTCCTGTTCTCTATCACTTCCATTGCCCTTCAGCCCATAAGCTGGGATGGCCTCAGAACACATAAGGGCTGGGGTTCCAAGTACTGTGTGTGGGTGGCCAGCCTACCCAGAGGAAGACAGAGACTCAGTGGACTGTCTCCTGAGAAGAAAGTACTCATAGAGGGCACTTGTGTTTCCTAGTCATGCGGCCTGGGTC